TCTCTCTCTGTGTGTGTGTGTGTGTGTGTGTGTGTGTGTGTGTGTGTGTGTGTTTGAGTGTGTATGTGTGCATCCCCGACCTTTCCAAGCCTGATCCCCCCCTTCTTGTTCCACTGTCCCCATCCCAATCCTCTCTCTCTGTGTGTGTGTGTGTGTGTGTGTGTGTGTGTGTGTGTGTGTGTGTGTGTCGTGCATGCGCGTGCTGTCGGAGGGTGCGGTGTCCCGACCCTCCGTGGTGTACCAGGCACACCCTACTTGTACCCCATTCCTGGATCGGTCCTAGCTGGCGTTCCCACAGCAAAAGGGTGGGGGTGCGCCACTGGGCTTTCCTTTGGTCCACGCAGGCTCAGCGCCCTGCTGTACAACAGAGCACAACCAGCCTGTGCTCGTGGTAGCCGCCGGGCTTGCCCAGGGACGCGAAGGTGGCTGGACCGGCGCGGTCTTTTCTACTGCGCGCCGAACTCCCTCTAGTCGAGTTATGGGATGTGTGCGAAGTCGCTGTCGCAATCAGGTTGATCCAAAAAGAAGAGAAAAAGACGAGAAAAAAACGAAAAGAGGCCACGTGTCTAACCTGTGTCCAGATCTGGACCGCCGTTTTAGTTTCGATTGATCTAAAGGTCACGGACTGCAGTGGACTTACATTTTTTAAGATAATTCTGATTCTTCGTACTATCAAATTGTCTTTTCAACTTTAGATCCTCTATTGTCACTTCGCGGGGGAACGAACGGCTCCTTTTTTATTTTGATACATTAAGCGGGCGGCCAGACTCCCATTTCCCTTTGCCGCTGGTGCAACCCACCCGACTTTGCAGTGTAGAACCCCAAAAGAGGGCACCCGTGGCCGCTTTGGTAGGGAGCCCATCACCCCTGCAGAAGGTCATGAGCCCCCTCCTTGCCATTGGACATAGGTACCAATTAGTGGTAGTTTGAAGGCTCCTTTTAAAGAGGGAAATCATCGGTAGGTATCCCATTATGGGACCATGCTGCGTGCCAGAGGTCACCAATTGGTGACCTTACCCGACCAGACCGTACCCAGCCAAACCGGCAGTTTTGGATGGGTGCAAAGGGTATATGGTGGTGCGGCTGGGTGTGAAAATCTGCGGGGTGGAATTGGGCGGGGTGGGAAAGTTTCCCGGGAAGCATGGCTGGGTTGTGACGCCCAACCTCACGCCCAGCGCGACTTCCTGATCGGAGAAGGATGTGGGCCTGGAAGTGTGAAAAGGGGTGTGCCAAGGATTTTTGGGAAAGTGGGGGTGGAGTCCCAGGTCAGAACTGAGATCTCCTGTGGCAGGATTTTTCGGGGTCACAAGTGCAATTGGGCGGGGAGGGCGGACCGCCTCTGGTCATAAGGCAGATGGTATGCACGGGTCACTCGAGGCCGGGCGAGCCATTGGTTCCAAGGTCGGCGGTTTGCGGGAAGGTCCCTTCGGGGTGGGTGGGGTTCCGACGAGTCGGACCGTCGCTGGTCGCCACGTCGCGCCGGTCGTCGCGCGTTTGAGTTAGGCCTCCGGAACTCCGAGATCCTATGGTCATCTCGTCGTCGGCAATTTCCGCAGGGTGTACTGGGCCAGTAGGGGGCTATGGCTTTCCACGAGACGACGCGGAGTTGGTGATATGGAAGACGAAGACGGAAGGGAGGGAAACTGGTGGAGAACGACAAATCCGGGGTGGGTGAAGTAGTGGGTGTGGTCCTGAGTGGGGAGATCAGAGCACCGGGGGTCGCTAGTGGTGGCGCAGTGAAACTCCCTAGGGCACAGTCGATTCTCAGTTAGGCAAGGGTATCTCTGTCGGAGGATTTCGTTTATCCAAGGTGTGAAGTATTCCGGGTCGTACAATAATGACTCGGAGCTCTCTGAGCGTGTCATTATGTCATCGCAGAACTACGAGATGCCTAAGGGCGGGTTTGTGCCGATTGCGACCACCACGTGCTAACATGCGCAGGCCACGCGACTCACGTCGCGCTTACGCTTGTTCGTACGGGATGACTGCTCCGTCGCAGACCCTGGATGGCCGCGTCCAATCAGACAATGCTTCTGCAATCGATGGTCCCTTTTTGGGATTAACGAATCGACGCACGGGGCCACGTGTGAATGCGCAACTCAGATCGCGTTCACACATGTCCTCGTGCGGCGTTCGCTGGGCCAGACATCCGATTGTCTAATCACTCCATAATTTTTGAGCATGCAAGATGCAACAACCACAACAGCTCAATCAAAATATAAGCAAAGACGAGAGCAGGATTACCGATTGCACAAAATTCCTATCCTACTCATGGGTGCATCAACGGCAATAGACAAGGGCAAAGGCAAGGATCCGGTACGAAAACAAGCAACCAAACATGACATCCATACATCCATTCATTCAGCAACATACACCCACAGTGCATCTGAGATGGAAATCGCGAAGACAAATATGAGCAGGAACCTAAGTCCAGATTCTGAAAAACAAGAAACGGGCCAGTCACCCAGAGCAGAAATCAAAATTTATATACACGAGACAGAAGGGAGAGAAGATAAAAGAAACAGCAATCCGGGTCCATCAACCTCAACTCTCTCTTCCTCTCTCTCTCTCTCCAATGCGGACAGTCCATCGTCGCGCACCAACCCACGAAGCCGTCACCCCACTTAGTCCTCCCGCACCCGTCAGGTTCGCCCGCGCCCACAGTCCGTCGTGGCCCGCGTCAACCCCGCGCGTTTGGCACCAGCTCGTCAGGTCGTCCGACTCCTGCTCTACTCACCTCTTACTTCGCTCGTGTGCCGACCCTCTCTGATCGCGCAACCCCGAGCTTCCAACAGCTGGTTAAAAGAGCTAACTAATCGCGCAGCCGGAATTTATAGCGTGCATGCGTGCGCGAAGAACACGGAATTACAAGGACTTAGAAGGAAGATCAGAGGGGGAGGGATTGCCTACGTCTGCATGGCCCGATCGCGGCGTGGGGGACGTAGCCGCTCTCCACGCATCGATGCGATCATGCAGCCCGCGGGCTGGCCAGACACAGCAAGAGAAGACGAGAGCGGGAAAGACGAAGCACAAGAAGAAAAGATACAGTTACAATGGCGCCAGTCCAAAATTACAGTTACACACCCGATTAAAGGCGCCGACTAATCAGAATTCCGTTGCAGCCGCATAAAGAAGCGCGTAAGCAAAAGGCGCCGCGCAGCCAAAGAAAGTCCTAATTACAAAATTCCTAAATTCCTACCTAATGCGAAAAAGCAAAAAAGCATACGTTCCGAAAAGAAAGTCCAAAATTCCAAGAGCCATCGGGGCTCGGCAAGATTCGAAAAAGAATTTAAAAGGAAAATTCAAAAGAACGAAGCAAATTCCCGCACGACGTCCGCGCCCAAATTCCAAAACCGAAACAAAAGAAACGACGTCAACAATTATTAATCGTGCGCCTGGCAGCGCGCCAGCCCTTCAACCGACCAATCAATCAATCGATCATCCCAGGACTCACCCGGCCCTGAACCCAACCATCCGAAAAGAGGCGACGAAAGACGAAGAAACGAGGGCACCGATGCAATTTCCTTCCAATCCCGATCTCCCGTAATCGGCCCAACCTTCCCAGCTTAGGACCCCTCGTCGCAATCGCGCAGGAAATCGCGCGGTGCGGAAATCGGTTCGTCACAGGGTGTTGAAAAAGTGCTTGGGGGCGTACAACTGGGTGGAGGTTTGGTGTGGGTCACCCGAAGCCTGTATGCCAGTTTACTAGTACGCATAGTGTAGTTGCTAGGTAGTATTATCGCAAGACCGCAATATCAATTTGGCCTGGCCCCTCCATTTCTCACCACCAGGTGGCGGGTATTGAGGAATTTGAGGTCCCACAAGTAGTAAGGATTTGGTGTGCACGTTTTCATTTCCCACTAGTTTTTCATTTTCAATGGTATTATGGCCCTTCTGTGGGTATGCCCTGAAATGGGTGAAAAATGGCATGGCTGACCAATGGGCCTCGCTCCACTACTCACCAAATTTGTAAAATGAGAATATGAATCCTCCCCTCGAACAAAGAATGATAAACTGCCATTTTTTTTGTCTTTTGTGCATGTGGTGAGTAGTGGAGTGAGGCCCCGTATGCCCTTAGTGCCG